ACAGGACAAAGAAGCTGATGCCTGCGCAGTCCTCGAGGGTATCTGTAAACCTTGCCACAAATACAGCCGTATGAAGCGTTCCCATGGACACTGTTGTCATGGAGCTTCTTGTTCCAGGCATTGGTGAACTCCTTTCCACACTCTTCACATTTCCACAAACGTTTCTTTCTCGCGTTACTGAAATCTCCTGAAGTTGATTCCAAAGATAATGCATACGCTAAATCAGATCTGTTTGCTCCGTACAGACTGAGATGAGGATAATCAGCCATACCTGTCCCCATCTCAAGATCTGAAATCACAAAACAGAACTGAGATGTAGACAGAAGTTTATGGAAAATTTACGCATCAATAAAAATCCTCAACTTGTTGCAGTTCCAACATGTACTAGTTCAGCGGCAAGAACATTTCAATCTTCTTAAAAAATACATTCCTTCCATTTTTATTAAAAACCCAAATTATTAACAATTTTGCTGACTTGAATATAGGAACAACTCCTCAGCAATACAGCTATACCTACCAAAAAACAAAGGGAGGATTAAATGAAGATTCTTTGAGTGATTCTTACACTGATGATTTACACTTTAACTGCAAACCCAGCTAGTGATAGTTGAGACTTTCAGTCTGTCACAGAACATAAGTCACTGATGTTATCCTCAAAAACAGTCATGCATCAATCAAAATGTTGGCACACATGTACAATCCGATGAAGTGTCAGATGAGAATCCTTGATGGCATGAGAAAATCAATCGTCTGTTTTTCCAACATCTCGTTAAAACCAGATTGAAAAGTCAGAGTTACTGATGCATGAAGTACCCAGCTGACAGTGTTTGAAGTATTTATGTCTTAAACTCAGTAGGTCAGGAGCAAGAGACATTTAATTCTGGAGTTGAACACACATGGGGAAACTCAGAAGCTCCATTCGATACTGGCCCCGAAACAAAAACACAAAAAATAAGATAAATGCAGAAATAAAGCTATTGGCCCTTGAGATTCTATTAGAATGAGTCAATTCAATTGGCCAAGACCCATCTCTGATACATCAAAGAGATCTGAAACAGGCAGCTCTACTTTACAAGATTCACACATTTGAAGGTCATACAGAAGGTCCGAAGGCCCTTATCCTAAGACCGGTCTGGGTCTCCTGCAAGCTGACCCATAACAAAGCATTCTTTCTGATGTTTCTTAAAGTTCTGAGGGTACTTGTAGATCTTGCCACAGACACACGTATAGGTCACGTTCTCATGCAGGGCTTCCTTGTGAACCTTCTTGCTCCAGGGGTTGGTGAAGGTTTTGCCACACTCCTCACACTGCCACACACGCTTGCCATACAAGGTTTCGGGCTTGCCACCCAAGGTTTCTGGTTTGCCAAACAGACCTTCTGGATTGCTTAACAGCCCTTCTGGTTTACCCAAGGGCAATATGAAAGGACTGAGCACATGTTCAGGCATCAAGGGCCTATGTACTTCAGTGACATCTGGACGTTTAGGCAGTTTTGGGTAGCCAGGCCTGACTTGATCCTTTCCAACATCTGAAATAACAAGAGTGAAATTTTGGAAGGAGGAAAAATCTTTTCACACATACTGCAAAATCCTCGATGCCTCAGTGCCTGAAAGTTAATGTCTGTAACGAAAGACAGGCAACATAATTCCACTTTTGGCCAAGACGTATAAGCTTCATGCATAAGCTGATGATGTTGAATGCAAAACACTGATAGAACAATATGTTCAGGTTCACATTCACAGAAAGTATGTGTGAAAAGTGGAATTATTTCCTTGAGGATTTTGAAAAACTGTTCACAATCTCAGGGGAGAAGGCATTCTGTCGAAATATTTCATTTTCAACTTTCCCAACCACTATCCAACATTACATACTTAACAGAAAGCATCATTAGGCATTTGTTCCCATGGTGACCACAGAGGCAGCAACATATCCCGGTCTATCTCCAAGTGGTTGAGGGCAATTTGTCATAAATGAAAGCAAATGTCATCTGAAATTTGCTGAGAAAACAATATGTGAGTATTGTTTTATGCTGCTTACAGTAATACTCCAGCAATAGAAATGGGCTTCAAACATTGTACCCATGTGTACAACTAAACAACATGTGAAATAATGAACTGCATCTGTGAAAAAGCTGGAGGTTTAACATTTAAGGACGTCAACATCCCCATGGGCACCAGCTATGGTCCCCTTCTTCCGCATTGGTTTCTTTATACATATGAAGAGGAATTGCGACTTAGACTGGCAAAAACAAAATAATGTAATCAGTCCAAAACGTTCAACTCCAGGTTCAGGCACATCAATGATTTGATATCGTTCAGTAACCATCAAAAAAGCAAATTCCCTTCCGCCCAGCTGAACTACAAATAAAAGAGACCCCCTTGTCAGTTTCATATTTAGATCTGTGTATGGAGATTTTAGCGGCCTTCACATGGCAAACTAAAGTTTGACGACACATGTTATCAAACTCGAGTTTGAGAGTGTGAACATTCCAACAACTCGCCACCAATTTCAGAGTTGACAAATTGTTGTCGAGAAATAGGATCGGTCTCTATTCCACCAACTTTTCAATCAAACTTTCGGTGTTGTCAAATTCAAATTTGACGTGTGAAGAGTTGTCAAACTCATGTTGTTCAGAAATAACCAATCGCAGTCAACAATATTGTCATGTGACCACATCGATAGAAACATGGAGCTCAAAATGACACGAAAGTTTGACAACATGTGTTTGACTTTTTTAACGTGTTGTCAAACTTTAGTTTGCCGTGTGAAGGCCGCTTAAGAGTGACACTTTCCACAAGACTCTTCAAACAAGACATCAAAGAATGTCATACATCTTCAGTATTTGTTTGATCAAGGTTGAGTGGTGTACTCAAGGGCTCAGAATTGCTTTCAAGAATTGTATGGTAGACATATTCAAGACACTTTCAAATTTTTCAGGGTGGTAGGGTAGCCTAGTGGTTAAAGTGTTCGTCCATCACGCCAAAGACCCGGGTTTGATTCCCTACATGGGTACAATGTGTGAAGCCCATTTCTGGTGTCCCCCACCATGCTGGAATATTGCTAAAAGCGGCATAAAGCCATACTCACTCACTCCAAATTATTCAAATCATTGACAATCGGACACATTTCCAGTCTTTTTTTTCAGGTGAACATTTGACTTGGCTTTGCATGTGTTTGTGATGGGGGGCACTGGTGGGTGGGATATGTTCACCTATTCGTGTAATCACTTTTTAATACTGACTCATAAACACGTTTGTGATGTAGCCTTAGCAGGACTCCTCATGGACATGTACAGAGTTTTGCTTTTCTTTTATGTACAGCATCATCTTTGACTATTACTCCATGAATGTGATCATGTATGTCACCAAAGATTAGTAACCCTCCCCAAAATACATGCACTGAACCTTATTCGTATATTTTTAAGGTCAATGAGACACAATTTTGCTGGTCTGCAATTCAAGTTCGGTGAGAAGAGGTGAGGTGAGGTGAAATTGGGTTTAACGTCGCGCTGGAGAATATTTCGCTCACATGACGATGTGCATGCGTGTGTATGTGTAGGTGCGGCTGCTTGTACTAGCCCAGACTGTGCTAGGCCACTGAGATACCATGCCGGAGTGAAGCATGAATACCCCATTTAGACACATTATACTGACTCCGAGCCGACCAGTCTTTGTTGTACCCATTAATGCCGGGCGCCAGGCAGGACCAAAAAGCACCATATTTTAACGTCTGTTGGTATGACGCGGTCGGGGATCAAACCCGTGACCTTCCGCGCTCCGGGCGGACGCTCTAACCACTACACCACGGAGGCGGTCAATTCAAGTTCGGCAATTACACTATTAAATACACTAGGTCAAAGCTTTACTCAGGACTTGGCCAAGTCTGACACCAACACATACAGTTTGCAGATCTTTCACTGACAAGTAGCACTGGTTTTATGCCATTTTTAACAATATTACATCAATAACATTAGGTATTAATTTACCTGCATGTCTTCACAAGACAATCGAATGCACTGAACACAAGGCTTCCCCTAGCCCCCAATCTTTCAGTGATTGTGAGTGAGTGAGTATGGTTTTACGCCGATTTTAGCAATATTCCAGCAATACAACGGCGGGGGACACCAGAAATGGGTTTCACACATTGTACCCATGTGGGGAATTGAACCCAGGCCTTGGGCGTGATGAGCTAACGCTTTAACCACTAGGCCACCCCACCGCCCTTCAGTGATTGTGTACAGATGCAGATTCTTATGACAACACTTGATGAATCCTCATCATTGAATCTGCTGAAGACAACTTGCTTCCCCACGGCTCAAAATGTTTCAGTGACTGTGTACAGATGTAGATTATTAAGAGGAAGTACCGATAAATCCTCATCATTGAATCTGCTGAAGACAACTTGCTGCCCCAAAAATGTTTCAGTGACTCTGTACAGATGTAGATTATTAAGAGGAGGTACCGATAAATCCTCATCATTGAATCTGCTGAAGACAACTTGCTGCCCCAAAAATGTTTCAGTGACTCTGTACAGATGTAGATTATTAAGAGGAGGTACCGATAAATCCTCATCATTGAATCTGCTGAAGACAACTTGCTGCCCCAAAAATGTTTCAGTGACTGTGTACAGATGTAGATTATTAAGAGGAAGTACCGATAAATCCTCATCATTGAATTTGCTGAAGACAACTTGCTGCCCCAAAAATGTTTCAGTGACTGTGTACAGATGTAGATTATTAAGAGGAAGTACCGATAAATCCTCATCATTGAATCTGCTGAAGACAACTTGCTGCCCCAAAAATGTTTCAGTGACTCTGTACAGATGTAGATTATTAAGAGGAAGTACCGATAAATCCTCATCATTGAATTTGCTGAAGACAACTTGCTTCCCCACTGCTCAAAACGTTTCAGTGACTGTGTACAGATGTAGATTATTAAGAGGAAGTACCGATAAATCCTCATCACGACAGGCAGCACAAATGACCAATAAACACAACACAATTTGGAGATCACTATTCTTTTTAATACCCAGTCTGCATGTGATCAGCGGGTGATGACATTGTTAAACAAGAGACATACCAATATGTACAGCCAGTAACAGTGGCCAATACAACTCTGCAGATACAGCAAGCAACATGAAGTATTCCCTTACACAGATGATACATGACATGATTGAGTACATGCATGAAACTTGGAGTTGTTATTATGCCATGTGTTTTACACCAGAGCAAGAGTTCAGACATACATAGTTGCCTGTATAGTAAATATGTCATCAATATTAGGGCAGCCTATAAATGATCAAATCTGGCTGGACAAACTAGTGGATGATGTTATGAACATTACCAAACGGCATCGGGTCACCATGACACCTGATTGACAAGGTCACCCAGCTAGATATCCCAAAACATCGGCAACCTCTTACATCTTTCACAGGTTGAAACTAGATTCTGCCCCTCAGCGTCAGGTCACAATGACACCTTATCGACCAGGTCACCCAGCCAGAACATGATACATCTGCAACCTCTTACATCTTGCACAGGTTGAAACTAGATTCTGCCCCTTGGCGTCAGGTCACAATGACACCTTGGCGTCAGGTCACAATGACACCTTGGCGTCAGGTCACAATGACACCTGATCGACCAGGTCACCCAGCCAGAACATGATACATCTGCAACCTCTTACATCTTGCACAGGTTGAAACTAGATTCTGCCCCTTGGCGTCAGGTCACAATGACACCTGACCGACCAGGTCACAATGACACCTGACCGACCAGGTCACGATGACACCTGACCGACCAGGTCACGATGACACCTGATCGACCAGGTCATGATGACACCTGACCGACCAGGTCACGATGACACCTGATCGACCAGGTCACCCAGCCAGATAACCTGATACATCTGCAACCTCTTACATCTTGCACAGGTTGATGCTGGGTTTTACCTGGGAGCCAGTCATCAGGTTTTGTTGAGCCAATTCTCAATGCTGTAAGGACCATTGGCACAAGATGACCTACAATGTGGTCTACCTCCTCCACATAGTGCTATCCTCTGCAACGCAACATATGTTATATTTGGGATTACACTTTCTTAGTAAAGTACAAATTCTAGTACTTTTTTGGGTCGAGTCCCATCCGGGATTCGAACCCACAACCTCTAAACTGTGGAAGTCACGGTGGCTTAACGGGTCAGGTGGCTGACTTTGTGTGCTGGCGATTTGGTGTCGGACTCTGAGGGTGAGGGTTTGAATCACGGATGGGACACAACCCCCAAAAGTAATAGAATTTGTATTTTACTAAGAGCGAGTGAGCGAGTTTGGTTTTACGCCGCTTTTAGCAATATTCCAGCAATATCACGGCGGGGAACACCAGAAATGGGCTTAACAGATTGTACCCATGTGGGGAATCGAACCCGGGTCTTCGGCGTGACGAGTGAACGCTTAACCACTAGGCTACCCCACCGCCCCGTATTTTACTAAGAAAGTGTAATCCCAAATATAACATCTGTTGCATTTCTAAATGGCATTGTGTAATCATCCTCTGCAACAGTCTGATCCACATTCAGGACTTTATGACATTTGAAAAGAGCAGTAGGATCATCATAATTACACCTAACAAAAATCATACAAAAATACTGAAAGTTTACGCTATGTTGCCCCTAACTGACCTTCCCACTAACCTTCACTGACACAAGAACATATTATGCGAAGAATGAGCAGCAACGTGATCGTAATGCTGACTCGACTTCCTGTCACCTGTGACTCAAAACTACCATGTCTTTGGTGTTGTCAAGGAAACAAATGACTGATTATGTGAACATCTATGCATACCGAGGATGAATGTCAATGCTTTGAGTCAGTTGCGAGTGGAGCAATCTCTGCCTTATGTTCCTGATTCCCATGCTTGAACACTATTAATGGTTGAATCACTAAAATGTCATCAATCTACATTCAGCAAGCTCTACTTCAACCCCTGACCTAGACTGTGGATCAGCATCATCATCACAGTGTATTAAGCTCTCAAATTTTATTGCAGATCATCTTACTGAAATCTCTGCAACAAAGCTCGGTTATTTTGTTGTTTGACATTCTCAACAGCCTTCAAGCTATATGATGATGATATGTAAATAATGGAGCCTGGGCCAGACAATCCAGTGATTAACTGCATGAGCATCAATCTCAGCATTGTGGTATATGATGACACGTGTCAACCAAGTCAGTGACCCTGACCACCTGATCATGTTAGTCAAGCATGGGTTGCTCAAGATCATTTCTAACCAGAATCTTCACATGTTTAACACGCAAGCACAGGGGTGGAAATAACCCATTGCCCGACGTCAGAGTCCAGTGTTTTTTGCTATTGGGCAAGAAAATTTGTATATCACACTGTACCGGTGTCCAGTTGACTTTCCAATGTTAATTATGTTGTTTATTTAAAAAATCAGAAAAAAAAACGGTCGGAATAATGGAAAAATTATCAGGGCAATTGACTTTACATGTGCCACTGTACTGGAATACACTAGCAATTTTATAGTTCTTTCCATCCCTGAAACACTCACCCACGTCATGATATGGGCTCTCCTCATCATGATCCTGTTACTGACACCTCCATTATAAAACCGAATACTGAAACTGTGACATCAGATTTCAACGTGGAAATAAAACTGTACACCACTTTATGCAAGGTTATGATTATTTTTCCACATAAAAATAACTAAAATTAACACTGATTCCTCCAGCATTGGTGAACTTTCAAAGCCACAACACTTAACTCAAAACAATGATTCTTGCTGTGATTATTCATTCAGTCATGTTCTGCCCCAAACAGAGTTAAAAAAAAAAACCCACAAGGACAGTGGAAAGTATGAACCATTAGAAAACATAATGTCTTCCTTCAAGAAGTAACAAATCAGCAGTGGAAACATCTCAGAATTGAAAGAGAGTGCTCGGCTGAAAGAAGGACTTTTTACATGCTTCCTGAGGTAGCAGACATCTGAATATACACAGGACAACTCTTTTTGTGAGTAGTCAAGTTGTGAGGATATCGGAACACCTTCCCACAGACACAAGTGTACGTGACATTTTGATGCATGGCTTCTTTGTGAATCTTCTTGTTCCAGGGGTTAGTGAAGGTCTTGCCACAGTCTTCACACTGATACTTCTTCCAGGAAAGACTAGGGCCTCCTGAAGGTCCTCCTGAAGGTCCTCGAGCTCTGCCCAAGGGAAACAGTGGACTATTGCCCCCTGATCAAAGAGTTCACATACATACTTGAACCAGTAGCATGGCTCCTTGGGGTATAGCCACTTTCACCTTGGTTCATCATTACCAAGCCTGAAACCAACAAAAGGAAAGGTTTGGGAACTGTCAAATAAAAGTCCAACGTCAATTACAACTAGCGCTGGAGTGATTGATCGAATAATCGGGATATCAATCGATATCGACTTGCGTCAGTGATTATTGATGAGCTCGGGAAGCTGAATCAAATTAAACTTTAGAAATTATGTTTCTTATCATGTTTGTTAAATCAACACAAACAACTGATGCAGATTCCTGACTCGAAAAACTGCGATGTAAATCACATACTTTGTGTGTGTCTCAACAGGAGGTTTACTTGATTGTGCTGATCATGGTATTAATCAGTGCCTGTCCTGGTTGAATGTTATGATTGTGTGAGGTGAGGTGAGGTGAAATTGGGTTTAACGTTGTGATTGAGAATATTTCGCTCATATGACGACGTGCATGCGTGTGTATGTGTATGTGCGGCTGTTTGTACTAGCCCAGACTTAAGCTGGTTTTATAGTGTTAGCCCACTGAGATACCATGCCGCAGTGAAGCATGAATACACCACTCAGACACATCATACTGACTCTGAGTCGACCAGTGCTTGTTGTACCCATTAATGCAGAGCGCCAGGCGGGGACCAACAAGTACCATATTTTAACGTCTTTTGGTATGACGCGGTCGGGGATCGAACCCGCGACCTTCCGCTCTCCGGGCGGACGCTCTAACCACTACACCACGGAGGCGGTCTATGATTGTGTCCTGTTACTGTCCACGTGAGTTTAGTGGTGGGGTTCACATTGACAATCAATTATTGACTGATTACTGAGCTCTGATTAACGATCTGCATATTGTGAGCAATAAGCAGCACTAATCACAACACAGTACTATGTATTAGAACCTGATGCAGGCTTTGCATTTGACCGGATCTGATTCATTTGTCAGGTTTGTAAACCATTATAAACAGCGACTGATCCATCTCCTATGTAGAACATACTGATGTGTAAAATGCCTAAACTGATGCCCAATTTTCTGAAAATTTACAGCCCTGACACAGACACTAGACTCAGTTTAAATTGAAAAGGAACCCCAGTGAAACGAGAGACTTATTAGCATTATAGTAGGTGTGAGGTTGAATCGAAAATAATATTGTTCATGGAATGTTCAAAGCCCTGAAGCTCATACTGACAGTATCTTCATTTAATTGATGACATGCACAAAATATGTCCCATCAAAAGAATTTCCTGAAAACAATTATAATGATGATATTTTTCAAAGGAAACATCCCTTGCCTCAGTATGGCAATCAAAGCTGTCCTATCTGCATCAAATACAGACACACTCAGCAATACTCCATCTACTTGATGTCAGCCAGGCCAAGACAACCCAGTGAATAATATCACTGGGAGCAACCATCCCTCTGTCAGGTTATCATGACACCATCAACAAGCCTGACCATTTGGTGATGTGAGGTGAGGTGAGGTGAGGTGAGGTGAGGTGAGGTGAAATTGGGTTTAACATCGTGCTGGAGACTATTTCGCTCATATGACGATGTGCATGCGTGTGTATGTGTATGTGCGGCTGCTTGTACTAGCCCAGACTTAAGCTGGTTTTACAGTGCTAGCTAGCTCACTGAGATACCATGCCGCAGTGAAGCATGAATACCCCACTCAGACACATTATACTGACTCCAAGCCGACCAGTCCTTATTGTACCCATTAATGCAGAGCGCCAGGTGGGGACCAACAAGTACCGTATTTTAACGTCTTTTGGTATGATGCGGTCGGGGATCGAACCCGAGACCTTCCGCTCTCCGGGCGGACGCTTTAACCACTACACCACGGAGGCGGTCTGACCATTTGGTTGTCACCTTTGAAGTACAGCACACTGGTAGGTTGCCGGGGGGTAGTTTCAACCTGGACATCCCTTAAGGGCATAGAAATTTTGACACTTCATTTTGGCAGTCTGGTGCAGCTGAAGAATGTAAATATCTTTAGGATATGAACCAAAAATAAGACTAACCACAACAGTCCTCACTGATAATCCACTGTAAGAAGCTACATAGAGTTATTTCCCTTTGACCAACACACCAAGACTATCACGATCTTTTTCAGTTGGCAATATCATGCACACCACTTCTGACAGAATTGTTGAGATTTTCTGACAGGGTATCATACACGTCGTCTCAACCAAACCCAAAACTGGATCCAGCGTTTATTTGAAACACAGTTACAAATAACAATTTATCTTGAAACAAATAGTATAATTCAATTTTTAAATCCTGACACAAGAGCCATGTACCTTTATCAATTTAGGTTCTGATGGTCTCCCATTAACTTGAAAACACTACAATCCTTCTTGTGCCTCCGGATATTCCTCGGATATCGGTAGACCTTTCCACACACACAAGGATAGGTAACATTCATGTGGACCGCCTCGATATGATGTCGCTTTGTCTCCTGCGTGGTGAACGACTTGCCACACTGTTCACACTGCCAACAACGTCGCCTGTGGGATGAAACGTTCCCATCAAAGGCGATTGGGAGGAGCTGAGTGCTATGAGACATTGAAGTGAGTTTGGTTATGAGATCCCCCTGGACTGTACTGACCAGCTGAAGCTATTCCATAATCTGAAAACAAGAAAATGTGCTTTGTTGGTAAGGTTTTCAAAGACGCCTACGTCCGTTACATATTTGATTTATAACACACGCTAAAAAGTTTTTGTGCCTATTTCTTTAATTTTTAAATAAGCATTTAGCTGCATCAGCTGACCTCAACGAACCAGACAAAATAAAAATAAGCACCATCAAGGTGTGCTTTCACAGAACTAAAACTGTGCATCCAATCGCAAATCGGAACCTCTCAATTTCACAGTTATCCACTTAGGAGAAAATGTGATATTGGAGATCAGAATATGTTTAGTGGCTTTTCGCATTAATTACAACATGAATCAGTATTTTGATCTACCAGCACGCCTTAGTATCACCTCAAATTCAAGAGACAGAAAATGGTCATGAACCTAAAATTTCAACAGAAACGAAATAGGAAGCTGAACATTTCACCTCATGGCAAGAGCTGTATCACATTCTTAATCTGCTGGCAAGGATCCGGAAAGATGGGTCCTTGAATACTGGTAAGTTAACAATTGGTCGCTCAGCTGTCTAACTGTTCACCAACCATCGAGGACGGGCAGCTGACTATTGTACAGTTCATGGTGCACTTGGTGTCTCGGATTCGGCACAATGTTCATGGCAAGGCAATGGAGGCGGAATACTGCAGTTCTGGGCACAGCCAATAATAGGATCTGTCATTGGTAGGAACTTCAACACATTTGTGTCCAGAGGCTGCAGTACCTACTTTAGTGTTCATCACAAACACCTGTACCAGCTGACAGTAGGATTTAACAGGCAAGATGGGTACCAGAATATTGAAGTTCGTGGTACATTCAGACTTCACTCTCAACTTCACCACAATTGTAGTGTATTACCATCTGTCAAGAAACTGCAGCCACCTCTATAGTAATTCCTTAGCAAGATCATGGCATAGTAGACAGTAGGCTTTAACAGTTAACACAGCTACAACAGTATATCAATCAGAGTGAGTGAGTGAGTTTAGTTATACGCTGCACTCCGCAATATTCCAGCTATATGGCGGCGGTCTGTAAATAATTGAGTCTGGACCAGACAATCCAGGGATCAACAGCATGAGCATCGATCTACGCAATTGGGATACGATGACATGTGTCATCCCAGTCAGTGAGCCTGACCACCTGATCCCGTTAGTCGCCTCTTATGACAAGCATGGGTTACTGAAGATCAATTCTAACCCGGACCTTCACATGTGTATATCCATCAGAAAGATTGTCTCACAGTTGACAGTAAACAGTGAACACAGCGACAACAGTATGTTCATTAGCAAGATTGTCTCACAGTTGACAGTAAACAGTGAACACAGCGACAACAGTATGTTCATTAGCAAGATTGTCTCACAGTTGACAGTAAACAGTGAACACAGCGACAACAGTATGTTCATTAGCAAGATTGTCTCACAGTTGACAGTAAACAGTGAACACAGCGACAACAGTATGTTCATTAGCAAGATTGTCTCACAGTTGACAGTAAACAGTGAACACAGCGACAACAGTATGTTCATTAGCAGATTGTCTCACAGTTGACAGTAAACAGTGAACACAGCGACAACAGTATGTTCATTAGCAAGATCATGGCATGATGGCTATGGGCTAATCAGCAAATGAATATGGCTTGCTGAATACAGTCCAGAAAATGTTACCATCATTAACAGAGACACACAGCAGTTTCAGCTGTTACAAAGCAGGACATGTCAGCCAAACAGACTATAGTTAAGACACTGTATGAACAATTGCTCCACAGGAGACATTCATCAACAACAGATGACCAAATGTGCATTCTCCAACATCAACATGGTATAACTATCTGCAATCTCACATATAACTTCACAAAAAGATATAACATACAAATAAGGAGCTCTGTAATTACAACAAAACAAGGGGCAGTGGGGTAGTGTTTTTTTTGTTTTGTATTTTTTATTCATTTTTTTTTAGGTACAAAACCATAGTGGGGTAGTTTTAGTGGTTCAAGTATCTGCTTGTTATGTCGAGTTCCTGGCTCGTCACACAGAAGACCTGTGTTCGATACTAGGGCTGCGGAATATAACCGGTTCGGTTCAGACATGAAAACGATATGTATTGCGATACGCTGATCGAAAACCGGTATTTTGACATGTATTCGGAAAACGTCGTAACACTCGGAAATCTTCGGATATTTCCTTGTTTTATTTGTGCCAAATATTATTCACATTTTTATTCTATCATGATTAAACTTTGTTATTAAAGCGTAATCAAGCATAGTGATTTTGTTGTGTTTTTGCTCTATAAATCAAGCAGTAACTCGATTATATGTAGTTTTTTGTTTAAAAATACTTCATGCAATATATTGCAATACATATCGCAATACATGCTTTCACATCCCAATATATCGCAATATGAATATTCTCTGCAATACCCACCCCTATTCGATACCCCACTTGGGTCAAATGTGTGAAGCCCATTTCTGCAGTCCCTGCCATGATATTGCTGAAATATTGCAAACAGCAGCATAAAAACATACTTACTACAACAATACAGATTTCTCAAACAGTCTAAGGGGGAATACTATTGTCCTGAATTCAGCATGGACCCCTTGTCAATGAAACTGCTACCTGAATTACGAAAGTAGCGGTAACAAAAATAAGTGTAAACAAAGACCAGGACACTAAACATTGATCAGTACAACTCAGGTAAATGTTCTGTTCATATTTATCAATGATTTTCAGTGATTCATTCTTATAATTTCCAGTACTGTGCAGCTTATGGCCCATGGATTTAGTCAGATCAGTTAATCAAGACTAATTACTCTCCTGCACTGACATTTTATACTTTCAAAAACCCACACAAGTTTTCACCACACTAACAGATCAAAACAGATCAAGAATTTGAATAAGCTTATCAATGTAAAATTGGCTATGAAATGATTCGTTACACCAAGGTAACGTCTACTGAATTCAGTGAAAGTGTAACTTTATATTAAAGAACACTTGGTTTCCAACAGTGCTCAGTTGACTGACTGACTGACTGACTGACTGACTGAGTTTGGTTTTACGCCGCTTTTAGCAATATTCCAGCAACATCACGGCGGGGGACACCAGAAATGGGCTTCACACATTGTGCCCATGTGGGGATTCGAACCCGGGGTTTCGGTGTGACGAGCCAACGCTTTAACCATTAGGCTACCCCAGCCCCGTGCTCAGTTGAAAAGCATGTTGTTGATAAGATGGTATTGTTATACCCACGAAAAATACTTGAAAAGGAAACTTGAACTGACTTGCCATCTGTTTAAAGATATAGTGTGTATTAAAATGAGACAAAGCCTTGGCTAACTGCCAAAGGAAATCAGGCAACATCAATTATATATAAATACTGGAATTCAAGGGGAAATGTTCTCTCCATTGTGAGGATATTGTTGGCTCGAACTGCTTCAGAAGAACATATATATGGCATCTAGCAAGTTGTCAGATACCGGGATAAAGTTCCTTGCTTCTGGTGCTTTCAAGTCATCAAATCAACTTGTGCTAATATTCTAGATAGAATATTTTCAAGAATGCTGTTTATTGTCAGAAAGAGGCCTATGGCATCTAGCAAGTTGTCAGATACCGGGATAAAGTTCCTCGCTTCTGGTACTTTCAAGTCATCAAATCAACTTGTGCTAATATTCTACATAGAATATTTTCAAGAATGCTGTTTATTGTCAGAAAGAGGGCCTATGGCATCTAGCAAGTTGTCAGATACGGGATAAAGTTCCTCGCTTCTGGTACTTTCAAGTCATCAAATCAACTTGTGCTAATATTCTAGATAGAATATTTTCAAGAATGCTGTTTATTGTCAGAAAGAGGCCTATGGCATCTAGCAAGTTGTCAGATACGGGATAAAGTTCCTTGCTTCTGGTGCTTTCAAGTCATCAAATCAACTTGTGCTAATATTCTAGATAGAATATTTTCAAGAATGCTGTTTATTGTCAGAAAGAGGCCTATGGCATCTAGCAAGTTGTCAGATACGGGATAAAGTTCCTCGCTTCTGGTACTTTCAAGTCATCAAATCAACTTGTGCTAATATTCTACAGAGAATATTTTCAAGAATGCTGTTTATTGTCAGAAAGAGGCCTATGGCATCTAGCAAGTTGTCAGATACGGGATAAAGTTCCTCGCTTCTGGTACTTTCAAGTCATCAAATCAACTTGTGCTAATATTCTACATAGAATATTTTCAAGAATGCTGTTTATTGTCAGAAAGAGGCCTATGGCATCTAGCAAGTTGTCAGATACCGGGATAAAGTTCCTCGCTTCTGGTACTTTCAAGTCATCAAATCAACTTGTGCTAATATTCTACATAGAATATTTTCAAGAATGCTGTTTATTGTCAGAAAGAGGCCTATGGAGATACCCTCATTCATCTTGTTTGGGAAAGATGGAGATATACACTTGGTTCTGACCAGAGGTCTAATGAACACCAGCAAATGTTCTCACAGTGGTTGTTTATAAACTCTCAGCTTCCAGCCTTGATAATTTCACAACTTCGCAATGTTTACGATGAGAACGGAGGTTCTTGGGATACTTGTAAACATTCCCACACACGCACTTGCAGGTGATGTTCAAGTGCACAGCTTCAAAATGCTCCTTCTTGTTGCAGGAGTTGGTGAATGTTTTCCCGCACTCTTCGCACTGGTACTTGCGTCTGGAAGGAAAGCATTCCTCCAAAGCACCACCAGAGACTGCAGGCACACTAAAGCTGGACAAGATTTGATCTATTTCTGGCAAGGATGTGGCTAACCTAGGATCGTGACGAACAGCTGGGGTAAACACACGAACATCCTGTGAGGCCATTCCTGCAATCAAGAAAACGCATAAAATAATATAAGCTCCAAACATGTCGGCCATGTTGTATATGAATGTGCAGAGTGAAATGTGTCAGTTTTTGCTGAAAATGCAATTTAGTCTCTTCTTAAATCGGGGATTTCCCTGATGCGAAGAAAATGGAAGATGTATTTGAACACGTGGAGAATGAGCACATTTTCTGAAGTTTGATTTCCTTTGTCAAGATCTGATGTTGTGAGAAATATCGTGACCCTAGTATGGATAAATGCATCTTTCGCTGACACTAATGTCCTCTTTATTGTGCAGATGAAAGACATGTTAATTGTCCATGTTGACTATAAAATATGTAACATCAACTAACTTTTCTTGGACTGGTGACAATAATCAGATGAGCTGGCTCACAGATGTTCACGGTTACCGATGTTGTGAATGTCACCTCTTATGATGTTTCCATAGAAACAAAACATTGTCTTGACAACAATGCACCAAAATAATCAGAGTATTCACAATGACACATAGGGCTTTGGAGAACTGTAAATTCCTTAATTCATGAACAAAATTGTTATGATGACCCCCACAGCAACAGCAAGATCAAGAGCACAGGTGTACGCTCAACGGCAACAGCAAGATCAAGAGCCCAGGTGTACGCTCAACAGCAACAGTAAGATCAACAGCATAGGTGTACGCTCAACAGCAACATCAAGAGCACAGGTGTACGCTCAACAGCAACAGCAAGATCAAGAGCACAGGTGTACGCTCAACAGCAACAGTAAGATCAACAGCATAGGTGTACGCTTAACAGCAAACATCAAGAATAAATGTGAAATTTTAATGCGCCTTTTCCATGTACAAGGCACATGCTCAAAGTGTTAACACACTATTTATTACAACCGACATCTCTACTAGAAATAGAAATAGTCTTTTCGGTGATAAATCTTTAATTTGAGCATTCAGCTGCATGTGCAACAATCAGTGTCCCTGAAAACCGTCGTTGACCACATCACAATCTTTCTTGTGTCTCCGTAGGTTTCGAGGATATCGGTACACCTTCCCACAAACACATGAGTGAGTGACATTTTCATGCTGAGCTTCTATGTGATGTTTTTTGGTCTGAGGAGATGTGAAAGTCTTGCCACATTGTTCACATTGCCACCGTGATCTGGAGGCATAATACCCCTCCGACCCTCCCAGTGTTGGCTGGAAATAGCCACCTTCATAACCACGCACACTGGCAAGCACATCATGAAATTCTGAAACAGTTAGAAAATGGATGGTGTTACAGTCAACTTGGTGATTTGAGCTTACAATATATTTATACAGCCTTTCACAAACATAACATTTTTTTTGCACACACAACTAAAATTTGTCTCAGAGTACTTGAATCTTAGTATTTTCTCATTTCCTGCTCTTACTGCAATGCTGTAGCCACAAATGGAGTGAGGCTATATTTTCGACATCTCAGTTTGTCTCCTTTTAAATTTTAAGAGATGTTTGTTTTGATCAAAATAATAAATTTCAAGTGACAAAATATTGGACTGAACTGAAAGATTCAGTGCATGTTGTGCATTGTAGAGTTGCTTCCCTTCACATACCATACAAGTCCAGTCTTGCCATACTATACAAGTCCGCTGACTTGTTTGACACGTCATCGCATCCCAATTGCGTAGACCAATGTTTATGTGGCTGATCATGAGTGTGTTATTGCTTTTCAGTTACTAAGCAGGGGTGGAAATAACCCATTGCCCGACGTCCGAGTCCAGTGTTTTTTTCTGTCGGGCAAGCAAATTTGTATATCACTCTGTACCGGTGTCCAGTTGACTTTCCAATGTTAATTATGTTGTTTATTTATAAAATCAACAAGAAAAACGGCCAGTATAGTGGAAAAATTATCAGGGCAAGTGATTTTACATGTGTCACTGTACCGGAGTACACTATCAATTTTAAAGGTATTTCCACCCCTGCTAAGTAGTTCGGTTTCTCATGAGGTGTATAAAGTAGTTGTAGATCAATAGTTGCTTCTCCAGAGCCAGATTTCTTGAAATAATTCATTGTATTCTTCTTTGAATACCTATGGTAACTATAATCATTACTTCTTTCACTGTTGTCAGACAGCCATGACTGCCAGACTGTTGGTCCAAGGCCACCATTCTCGAGGTGAGGTGAGGTGAGGTGAAATTGGGTTTAATGTCGTGCTTGAGAATATTTGGCTCATATGACGACATGCATGCGTGTGTGTGTGTATGTGTGGCTGCTTGTACTAGTCCAGACAGAAACTGGTTTTATAGTGCTAGCACACTGAGATACCATGCTGTAGTGAAGCATGAATACCCCACTCAGACACATTATACTGACTCCAAGCCGACCAGTCCTTGATGTACCCATTAATGCCTAGCGCCAGGCAGGGACCAACAAGTACCATATTTTAACGTCTTTTGGTGTGACGCGGTCGGGGATCGAACCCGCAACCTTCCGCTCTCCGGGCGGAGGCTCTAACCACTACACCACAGAGGCGGTCGCCACCATTCTAGACAGGCAAGTTACATTAAACCCAGTATGTAGTTGTTCCATGAAAGCTACAGACCATTTTGATTTGATGAGCAATGTCTACCCTGTGTATGTGATGTCATGTGATATTTCTGCTTTCACTGCTGCCTGTCAGATATAGATGTGGTAACAAACTAACATTTTTCATTCTCGAAATTCTTGCAATTTTAATTAAGCACGAGTCGAGAATAAGCTGTGATATGACCAGTGGTGTCAAGTATCTGTATCTTGTCATGTCTTGTGAAATGTCGCTCACATAACTTGGCAGATTTCAGAAATATGGATACGCTCTTTGATTTGAAAAAATCAGATACACTCATTAAAGAGCATGGTATATGGCCACGTCTTCAGTAATGTAACCATCATGTGAAAGACACCAGCATGAGGACATCCCCTAGACAACCAAATGACTGGCAGTAGAAAGGGAAGCTAAGAGCAAGCCAACCATATTCAATCCGTCTGCTAGTAGAATTAATGAAAGTGTGAGTGTGTAAAAATTGAGATGTCCTTTTTCTGACATTTTGGGGTGCATTTCACAAAAACGGACTACTTAAATATCCATTAAGTCATCCCAATGATAAAAAGAAAGTCAAAGCAGGACAGAAATCTCAACCTGCCATGAATCCTGCCAGCAGATGCTTCATGTTTTGAATCTGATTAAGATGAAGCAGGCTCATGAGTTATCTCCCTTTGGCCAACTCTCAATGTAATACCATGTACCCAACAACTGGTCAACATTATTGTTCATCTTATTTATAAAAACATCAGAGAAAAAGACAAATGTTGAAAAGTAAACAAGCATGTTTATTTGTTTCTGTTAAAAATATTATACAAACAAGCATTATCTTTTTCAATTTTGTAACACCCGTGAAGGTCCGGGTTAGAATGAACCTTCAGCAACCAATGCTTGTCGTAAGAGGCAACTAACGGGATCGGGTGGTCAGGCTCGCTGGCTTGGTTGACACACGTCATCAGTTCCCAATTGCGCAGATCGATGCTCATGCTGTTGATCACTGGATTGTCTGGTCCAGACTGGATTATTTACAGACCGCCGCCATATAGCTGGAATATTGCTGAGTGTGGCGTAAAACTAAACTCACTCACTCAATTTTGTAACTGAACATCAGCTATCAACTGATGAAGAGAACTCATGCAAATACACCTAAAGTACTTCTCATGTAGTCAAATAAAATCCAGGTGGCAACATTATGGATCCTTGAATCACACCATCCTTGGCTTTTATCTAAACACCCTGTAAATTAAGACACTACAGTATAATATGTGTCAACAGATGTCCAAATCTTGGTTGTCTCATCCCCAAGAAAACATTAAAAAAAGTTCAGATTGCCTCAGGGGCTCAATGTGGATTCAATTTTCTATTCAGAAGATGTACAAGTTAAAATAACTGGTTCTCTGTCAACACATTTTATATCATTGCTCTTTTTGCTGCTACATAGCATTCAGCTTTATTACATTTTACATGTACAAAAAGTGTAATAATGTCACATAATGTAATAGAGTATACTAGTGAGTGAGTGAGTCTGGTTTGATACCGCTTTTCAGAGTATACAATTACATTATGACGAGATGGAACAATGATAGGGGAGAGTTTGAAGTGGTACAAGTGTCAGACGATTATCACTTTGGCGAAAACCTCTAACATGGGTATAGCATTAACACAGACATAGAATTGGGGTGAAAAACAGTAAATGGAGCTTTTTAAACGAAACACACACCTCACTTTAATTCAAGAGACTCCATACTCCACAGCAATCAGGGTCAAAGTGGCTGAAACCACTAAATTGGTGATAATGAATTATCAGTCCAGTCAGACTGATTGTCTTTCAAAACATCAAAGTGAGTGAGTATGGTTTTACAGCTTTTAGCAATATTCCAGCAATATCACGGCGGGGGACATCAGAAATGGAAAACACCAAAGAACACCGACACTGAAGACGTGCAGAGTTTTTTCCACAGCAATATATTTGTTGAGATCATTTCAGCAGCACAAAGTTCTTTAATGTAAAACATCAGGGCACAGTTCCGTGACGTGATCGCATACAACTACGACTGTCATAAGGTTATGCTGAAGTATACGATTTTGAATATCTCAGCATTTTAATTCCCTTCTTCATAACAGGACCCAATTCGACAAAGCAATCATATTACTACGACAGCCGCTTATGGAAGAATTAGTGTTTCGGTCATCGTAGCGTTAGATGACTTTGGGGATTAGGATCTTGAACAGCACAGACATGGCAAGTTGAAAATCTGAACATCAGGATATTTGCTTTCTCAATCTCTGCGGTCTCAGAGTAAACACCTCCTCCAAAGTTCCCAAAGTACGATCAACCCTACATGGACGCCGAACCTTCTCCTACTCTGCTGCTGTAGAATGAAACAATCTTCCTGAGCATCTCCGCCTCTGTACTGATCTTTCCTCGTTCAGGAACCAACTCAAGACATACCTCTACAAATTAGCTTTTCATCAGTGACCCCCAATAATCTCTCTTCTTTGACTTACTTGTATACAGTGACTCTGGAACTCTTCATTTTGTGCGCTTTGAGCATGTCACGTACATGGATATATGTGCCATATAAATAGTCTATTATTACTATTATTAGTTCCCAAAAGCAATCATATTGCTACAACTGTCGTAAGGTTAAGTAAAATAGAATTACAGTTACGATCATCGCAGCATTAGATGACTTTGGGTAATGGGGTTATGGAGCAGCACAGACATGGCAAGTTGGACATCTGAACATCACAGCTTCCTAGAAGGGTCAATGAGCAGCACAGACATGGCAAGTTGGACATCTGAACATCACAGCTTCCTAGAAGGGTCAATGAGTAGATCGGGGACTTCTGTCATGAGCAATGTATTAATATTATCTGCTATAACATCATATACTAAACAACCACTTTAAAGTACAAATAATCGTACGAGAATCATCAAAATATTGTGCAGAGTAATACGCTCAGCTGCTCCTAATGTCCAACAACGCGACACCATACTTAAGCATCATTTCAACATCCAGGCTTATATTCTGTGGATGTGAAGATCACACAATTCTGCCAGATCACATACATCAGCCAGATTCCTCATTTTGATTGTGATCCAAACTTTATACTCGGAAATGTGCCTCCAAAAGCAACAACAAAGATTTGGTACGCCTTGAAATCTTTGCTTGAGATGGTTTGTCTGAACGTCCATTAAGTTGTGGCATGACAGTTCCAAATTCAACTGAAAGTTCCAAGATCAATAGATCAGCCACATCATATTCAAACTGAGTGCAAGAAACATTCTCACTGAAGAAATTTCAGCATAAAGTTTCCTTCAGTTATGCCCCGACATCTTCACTTCTGACAGTTCCTCTGTATCAGTAACAACAATTGTTATCACAGGTCAGATCTGACCAGAAGTCAGCTCTCAACTTCACATTGGGTGCAGAAAACCCTTTCTGATCAAGTTGCTTCCATAGACAGTCTTTCCTGTGTCTCCGCAGCCCTCGGGGGTATTTGTACACCTTCCCACATTCACACGTGTACGTCACATTGTCATGGACGGCATCAATGTGGCATTTTTTGGTCTGTTGAGAGGTGAATTTCTTGCCACAGTGTTCACACTGATAGGCATCTTTGGCCGCCAAGTTTCGGATATATCCTGATCGTGGTGCTTGAGTATGTGAGCCTGGATATCCCACAATAGGTGGATATGGTGACTGAGCACTTCCCTTAGAACCTGGTAGGAAGATGCCTATCTCTTCTGAAAGTAAAATATTTGTAATATGAATGAGACTGCTTCAAAAATTCTTTAAAAGAATTGGCTACAATGAAAACAGGAAAAAACATAATTGACCGGAATAAAGAAACAATTTTGCTCCACTGCAAAGATATTTAGCTTCAGAATGAACATATTTTCTTTTCGTTTCAAACCTGAAGAGGAAATATCATCTGAAGTCGACAGACTACAAATAGGCTGTTGATCATAAGAACCAGCTTCAACCATACTTCATATCACTACTGTTATCAAACACAGGGGAACACCTGCTATTCCAACAGAATTGGAACTGGTCCATCCACATACTTTTTGCCTAATTTGCCTTTCATATCCAATAGAAACGGTTTGGGAGTACGATTATTGGAATTGACTATTTTATACTGAATATTGTGTAATATGTACATCAGGCCAGGTCCCAAGGAACCTACAGCACACTCTCCTTGTGGCAAGCATCACTACAGTAAGGAGTCCTGTATTGGTAAAAGTAACCCATCTCCAAGAACTATCAATTCTTAACAAGCATTTCAAGATGAGATCCACAGTGGGTGACAACCTAGAGTCAGGATGCCATGAAATCCGTGCATCAGATTGACTGAAGGAGGTTTTATTTACGCTGCTTTTAGCAATATTCCAGCAACATCATGGCAGGGGACACCATAGTGAGTGAGTGAGTTTAGTTTTTCGCCGCTTTAAGCAATATTCTAGCAACATCACGGCAGGGCATAGTGAGTGAGTGATTTAGCAATATTCTAGCAACATCACGGCAGGGGACACCAGAGTGAGTGAGTGAGTTTAGTTTTTTGCCCTTTTAGCAATATTCCAGCAATACCACGGCGGGGGACACCAGAAATGGGCTTCACACATTGTACACATGTGAACACCCTTGTGTGCCACAAAAGGTTCACCTGGGCCCCAGCATCTAATGGTAATCCACATGCAACAGTTCACCACTATCATCGAAGGATGCATGAGTCCTGTTAGACTAAGGCTTAGTCTCTGAATATATATAATTTTGATAGTAACAAACAAGCCCATTTATATTGAAAAGGAGCCCTAGGGAGACCAGAGATTCAGAACCTGAGGAAATCTAGACTTGCTTTATTTAGGGCTTTAGCACTGCAGAGAGGGCTTGGCAGTAGGGAAATTAATGTGGTTCAGGGACTGTAATACAGACTAGAGTCCTGTGGCCATGTCCTTGAGCACTCCATCCATTGTCATAGTGGGGCAAACAGTGTCAGTGTAGTTGCTCTCAGTCACATTGTTGTTTTGGGGGGAGTGGATGGAATACATATCATGCTTGTCCCATTGTTTATTTAAATAAAATAATAATAACTGCAGCATACTTGTCAAAATGTTTATTTTGTACAAACTGTATGTGAACATTTCACAAATATGAATCATTCATTTCACATAATTGTTGTCATGTTAAAATCATAAATTGATAAATTTGCCGACCACTTATTAGTAATCCAAAATTGCAAAGCACATAACACTAAAAAATATAATTCAAATAAGTTCTGGTTCAATTGAAATAAAAATCTATTGACAGATCAGTGTACTAACAAACAAAAGTCAAAAACTGAAACGTGAAACTTAATCACAAGGTGAGTATAACCCCTTGATCACTTACAACATGAAGTGAAATTTTGTCATAGTATATAAGAACACTCCAAATATTTGAAAGAACACTCAATGCTTACTAATTACTGTAGATAATTGTAATGACAGGATAGATAATTTTCGTAACCTGACATGAAATAATCAGGTGATCTTTAACTAAACTGTTTGTTGTTTAACGCTGCATGCAGCATATTTTAACAAATACTGAGAAGAATATTATGACTTTAAGACAAGAGTTGGGCTGGCATAAGTATCTTTGCATTCATTTCAAGATCAGTTGCAATAAAAATGTTTCAGGTGCCACAAGGTTCCAAAGTCCCAAACAATATCAAGTTATTGATATTTGTGTTTCAGTATTGTTGAATATCTGACTGACTGAGATTGGTTTTTACACCGCTTTTAACAATATTCCAGCAACATCACGGCAGGGGACACCAGAAATGGGCTTCACACATTGTACCCATGTGGAGATCCGAACCCGGGTCTTCGGCGTGACGAAGCCAACGCTTTAACCACTAGGCTACCCTACCGCCCCTGTTGAATATCAATGAAATAGAATCATTGGCTGTATTACGGAGGGTCATCGTTAAGAAATATACCAGAAAATTATGGTACCTCTTTAACACAATAGTACAACAGTTAAGAACCAGGAAAGCCAGTTGATCAACACCATCAAAGCAATGAAAGAATCAGTTACAATGCGTTTCCAGTGACAATTTGGATTCCTGTTCACCTTGACAAATGGGTTCCACAAATTCTACCCATGTGGGGAATCTAACCCAGGTCTTCGATGTGATGTACAAATGCTTTAACCATGAGGCTACCCCACCGCCCCGGCTGTTAAGAACCAGGAAAGCCAGTGGATCAACACCATCAAAGCAATGAAAGAATCAGCTACAATGAGTTTAAAGCAATGAAAGAATCAGTTACAATGTGTTTCCAGTGACAATTTGGATTCCTGTTCACTTTGAGAATGGGCTTCACATACTGTACCCATATGGGGACTTGAAGCCCGGTCTATGGCATGATAAACAAACAATTCAACCACTAGGCTCCTCCACACCACAAGTGTGGGGATTCGAACACAGGTCTATTGCGTGAAGAGCGAACGCTTAAGCCACTAGGCTCCCCCACAGCCCTACATTCCACAAGTGTATCAGTACAGACCTAGGTCATGGCTTGTGAACTGTTTCCATTTTTCTGCGACAATGAGCAGAATTTCTGATGTCTCCTCAGGCAGGTGGGATACTTGTACACCTTGCCACAGATACAGGGGTAAGAGGCATCACCATGACCGTGAACAGCCTCCTCGTGGAACTTCTTATTTGCAGCATTAGTGAACGTCTTCCCACATTCATCACACTGGTAAACACGGCGCGCCCTTGTGAATCTCTACAAGCACTGAGAAAGGAATCACTAGCTCCAGCATCAGCAGAGCCAGCAGAGAAGGACCCGTGCAGTCCTGAGTTACTGTACTCAGTCGTACCAGGACTAGATTGAAAGGGCACCTGCATGTTCTGACCCATGCTTTGTGACCTGTTGGCTAAACGAGGACCCTGTCTGGAGCCAGAGGACATCCTGCTGCCATTGCCCGTGTACTGAGATGTGTAATCCCAAACAGACCTAGTGAGTGATCCATAATCTGAAATCAACAAAAGAGGAAGTTGGTTGGACAGAGTTGTTGTGGCTGGACCTGGGCTAATATCAGATGTGAATAAAAGTGGAAGCTGACATAATGGAGAGAAAGATGACACCACCAACACAATGTATCATTATACAATCAACCATCCCAGTAAGTGAGTGAGTTTGGTTTTACACCGCTTCTAGCAATATTCCACGGCAGGGGACACCAGAAATGGGCTTCACACATTGTACCCAAGTGGGAATCGAACCCAGGTCTTTGGCCTGACAGGCGAACGCTTTGACCGCTAGGCTACCCCACAACTCCATCCATCCTAGATGGAAGAATTGACCTGCCTTTGCACGTGTTTGTGACTTTTGCCTCAGGTGAGGCAGAACATGTTCACCTTTAGTATACACGTACATAATCACTATTCAATTTATAAACCAAAGATTAAGATGTAGTCAGAATCAAACAGTGGACTCATGTCATATATTTATTATGATCATGGAAATCATTTCAGCACTTTTAAATAAACAGTTGTCAGGGCAATATGCCCTGTCACAATCCTTGTTTGACACTAATAATACATTGTTAAAGATACAGTGAACACTTTGTATTCAGAACAAAGTAACTTCTTGTTGAGGACAATGTTCATGCTGTGTCTCAAAAACAAAGTGAGTGAGTGAGTATGGTTTTTTTTAGCAATATTCCAGCAATATTACAGCTGGTGACACTAGAAATGGGCTTCACACATTGTACCCATGTGGGGAATCGAACCGGGTTTTTGGCATGAGCAAACACATTAACCACTAGGCTACCCCACCGACACCTCAACAACAAAGACAAGGAGAGTCTGTTCCTGGGATAAAACACTGGCCACAGATTCTCCACTTTATGTATTTGGGGGGAAAATAATTCCCTACACAACACTGCCCTTATTCTGACAGAAGAAAAAGTATGTTACCTGTGACATAAGCTATCTTTTCAACAAACATAAAATTGGGAAGAACTGCTCCAAATGTCAAGTCATTTTGATTATGAATTAAACGCCAACTTGACAAGAGGACACGTAAACTGTTCCCTACGTGAACAGAACAGAAAGTCAATAAATGTCAATGCAACTTCAGTTTCAAATTATCAGATGAACAAAGACCATGAACTATGGTCTGGTCAAGCAGTGGTTGGTCATATTATCACTAAACGAGATGGGGTCGGCCATGAGGACAAGGAAGCTCCATCAAGGACAGACTTTTGTTTGTTGTTAGACGGCCGCACTCAGCAATATTCCAGCTACATGATGGCAGTCTGTAAATATTCGAGTCTGGATCAGACAATCCTGTGATTAACTTCATGAGTATCGACCTACGCAATTGGGAACCGATGATATGTGTCAACCAAGTCAACGAGCCTCATCAACCGATCCCGTTAGTCGCCTTTTACGACAAGCATGGGTTGCTGAAGCTGTGGTTCAATGAACAAATGGAGGGTGAAATGTGGTACTAATGAACATATGTCGGGTTAGATGTGGTTTAACGCAAGTAAAAGCAGAGTTCCATCAGGACAAAGAATAAGACAGGTCAGTCTATCACAGAACTTTCATACACTCAGCCACCAAATGGGCAACATCCTAACATTTGATTGCACTGATGAATCTGTTTTCCCCTCCATGTTGCCCAAGAGAAGATATATACAGATGCATGGATGCACATCTAATGGTCATGGCCATGCTTTGTCTCTTACA